GCTTACAGCTGGCCTCGGGGCACGCGCAATACGCGTTTCCCCCAGTGAGCCTGCTCGCGCAGTTACTGTGCATGGTCAGGGAGGACGAGGAACAGGTTGCTGGTTGCGCCCCTCTGGCTCAACCGGACCTGGATGTCAGAGCTCTCCCTCGCGATAGCCCTCCCCTGGCAGTCCCTTCGAGAGAGCACCTACTCTCTCAGGGACAGGGCACCACCTGGCACCCTCGCCGATCTTTGAAGAGATTTTTAGACGCGAGGAAGACTTAGGTAACCTCCGATTGCGGTGGCTAATACCGTCACTCGGGCTAGAGCCCCCTCCCCGAGCGCGCCTATGCCCTGACGTGAAGTCTATTCACTGAATGGTGTGTCTCTCGCTGAGAAGACCCCCGTAATTTGCCAGATCAGCGTTGTGCTTTCTTTACGCCGAGAGAAGTTGGAGCGCAGGCTGTCGCCCTCCACACTCAAGGTTACGTGGCTGCCATCTCCGCTCTCATAACGCGGTGGCTGGCAGCACCGTGGGAACGCATAACCTCATCATCCGGTTCCTCAGGGGCGTTAAGCGAATTAATCCACCCCGCCCCCCTTCATGCCCTCTTAGGATCTCGCCCTCGCTACACAAGCCGCGTCAGATCCCTTCGATCCTCGACTCAGTATATTTCTGTCCCTGAAGACAGCTCTGCTGGTCGCGTTGATATCGATTAGAGGGTCGGGGACCCGGAGGCATTTTTCGGTCAGTGACTCGTGCCTGTAATTGGGCTGGCTTCTCTCACGTATGAGACCCCGCCCGCGATATGTGCCCAAGGTTCCTACCACTCCGTTTTAATACGAGGTAGTGAGCCTGCAAGCGCTGCCCTCGGAGGAGGCAGACCCAGCCCTTATTTATTGTCCAGTTCGCGTTTTGCGTATTATCCGGACCGCACTCAGAGTTTAGATCATCTGAGCAGCTCTTCGTCTGTTATAGCGGTCGGCAGCAGGGAAGTGCCGTACAGAAATAAGTTCCCACTAGATTGTGGATGCCTTTCTTTCACTATCAGAGCCGAGATGAGCCGCGTCCCCCGAGAGCGCGTGCGCACTCCACTCGGAGCTTCGCATCCTCTCGAGCGCGCGCACGCGGCGCCCCTCTAACAGACATCTGTAGAGCTGCGGGCTGGGTAACACCCAACACATTTGCAAGGTTTTACAATCTGCGAGTGGAGCCGGTTTCCTCAAGGGTATTAGGTAACCCTTGGTGATTGAGGAAACAACTCGGTAGGGTGTTGAAACACGCTTGCTGCGCCATTTTCCCTAACACGGAGATACGTGCGCCTTTTTATCTGTCAGTAAAGTTCCCCGTCAGGTGAGCCCTGCAGATTCCTCCGTGGCCCCCAGCACTGACTCAGCGGAGGAGTCACTTGCTGGCCCACTACGTTGTAGGTCTGCCCGCTGGTCAGCCCGCGTTTTGGGTAAAGGTGTCTGCTATGCGTGGTCCCCACTAGGCGATCCCATATGCTTATTCAGCCACGGTTAAGTCCCCCCCCCCCTGGGCGGACCCGTGTCTTCCCTCCCCGCTAACCACTCTTTTGCTATGCGTACTCCCCCTTTTTAGGGCTAGTCCATATGTAAATTCTGCCATCTATCCCCCCTTGGGTAACGGATGGCCTCCGCAGCGTCCTCCCTATCGGGATTGCACGCTTCCCAACGTACTGTCGTATTTCCTAGAATTATCTAGATGCTCACGACACCCCAAAAAATATATATGAATCCGTAAAACTTCTGTTGAAGTAGGATAAATTAGGGCCAGGGACACGTTGGAGGACCGCGCCCCCCATGATGTGGGTGCGTCACGCTTGCTTGACTATCTCCTCATCGGGGGTGTTGGTAAGGTGCAGTCATTATGGCGCTTTCAATGGGCTCCCAATGCGTGGATTTTACAATCAAATCCACTTATAGTGCTGAAGTTCCCCCCGAAGGGGAACGTTCGAGGTTACTAAAGTAACCCTTCGTTCCCCGAGGAGGGGAACGGAAGCACTATACTCCGTCGCCATAATGACTGTCCCTTAGCTGTTGAAAGTCTCTTCAGCTTAAAAAGGATAGCGTCTGCTGCGCCAGGTGAGCTTATATACTCAGTTGATTGCTTATGCCGCTCACCTGCGCAGGCTTGCGCTGCCAATTCATTCTTAATTGGCCCGTTCAATACTCTTTCAGACGAGTAGCTTCTGAACCGAACCTCCCAATGCGTGGATTTTACAATCAAATCCACTTATAGTGCTTCCGTTCCCCTCCTCGGGGAACGAAGGGTTACTTTAGTAACCTCGAACGTTTTTTCACTTACACTTACTTTACATCATGTGAATAGCAAATGTGCCATGGCGTGACACAACTGGCTCTTAAAGGGAATGGGAGATGAGACTCTGATTGGTTTATTCTCAAAACACACCTATAACTCATTAAGAAAATAAACTCCACCCTTCTAGACCATGCGCCACGACGCAAAGCGTATTTTTCCATCCTTAAATTAGCAAAAGTGGATTCTGACACGTCCTGAAAGCGTTTGCCCCCCTGCGCTTAATGCTTTTGCGCATGGACCGTCAAAATAGAGCCCAAAGTTGCTGGAGGAGATTGGACATCAAGACCAAGTTGTGAAGTACTTCTGAAGAGCAGCGCAACCTAACAAAGCATTATTCAGAGAATAAAAATGTATAAACACGGTCATAAATGAGGTTGGTGTCGTGATCTCGTTCTTTTCGAGTGCGTATGCGCATCAGCTTGGGAAACCTGAAAATTTTGTTTGATTCGAATGTTTGGAAACAAAACTTATGAGACAGTTGTTGTTTAATTTTATTGGTGATTCAAAATATGAAATGTAATCTTAAGCTTAGCAAATAATTTTGGAGAATTTGATGTTTCCCTATTCAAAAAGAATGCAGCATTTCAAAGATCGCATGAAAGTGAAATGACTTGTCTTAAAGGGACTCTGTTTTGGTCACAGTTTGAAGTAAATGTGCTTCCCTAAACATTAATAGTAGCCATAGCAATTCAGGGTCAGTTGATGCAGTCTTCATCCATCAGTGTGATCTCGAGTACACTAACATGTACAGGGAGCCGATACTGAACAACCAACTCACAAATATGGTCAAAAATATATGTGAGGATGTAGCTAACATGCAATACTATGAGTATGTCACCGACTCGGTCCCAGGCATTCCCCTCGCTGGCCAGCAGAGGCCGCCATCTCCGGACTTCTAGCATTACATCATCCACTTACACTGATCGTGCACACCTAATTCACATTCCAGTTAACGACCCACGTACTCTTTATAAGCCGCACTCAAACACTCAGTCAGTGTGAAGTCTTGTTCAGCCCCGGCCAGCATTACTGAGCGTTATATCCTGCCTGATCTCCTGTGAATTATTCCAGCCCGTTTCTGACTCTGCTTTGCCTTCTGCCTGCCCACGACCCAAGCCTGATACACGGACTCTGATACTCGCTGCCTGCCCTCGACCCAAGCCTGATACACGGACTCTGAATCTCGCCGCCTGCCTCTGACCCATTCCTGGTAAATCACTCCGTGTCTGTCAGCCGCCAGCCTTGAAACCCTTACTACTAATGTTGATGTGTGTTTGCACCTTTGTGCATATTGATTGTTTGAGTGAGAGTGTGATTAATAAATACTGCATAATGGATCCCTCCGTGTCAGTCTCGTCGTTACAGAGTATTAGATATGCCTATGTCATTTACACACACACATTCACTCTGGGACTGATTCAATGTGGGAACTAGAAGATCTAGGAAAATGCTGTTAAATGTTGCTCTGCAAAAAGCAAATCTAGTTTTAACTTCTTTATAAATAACCACAGAATAAGCAGGATCTTCCACTCTGCATCTAACAGTTGTTTGCCTACTCTTTGCATCAGGTACCCTATCAAAAATACACACTTGGTAAGCAATTTGTAACATGTTGCTACATTATACATATTCAATACTAATAGAGTCCAAATGAAAGTCTAAATGTAATACATTTAATTACAATAAACTATAATTGATTTGGTGATCTAAAATACTTTTTAGGACGTAATTGTAATTTTTTTTCACCACACATACTGTACTCATCTTAAAGATAGTTTTTAGGGTGTGTGTCCCTGAAATTGTGCACAATGAATCTTTCATGTACATCATGTATATAGTTTTATTTATTTACTTATTTGTACTGGCTATTTACAGACCGGTTACTCACTGAAGCGAAGCGGTGCAGACCCTGGTTAATACCTGGATGGGAGACCACATGGGAAAACTAGGTTGCTGTTGGAAGTGGTGTTAGTGAGGCCAGTAGGGGGAGCTCAACCTGCGGTTTGTGTGAGTCCTCATGCCACAGTATAGTGAAGGGGACACTATACTGTCAGTGGGCGCCGTCTTTCGGATGAGACTTTAAACCAAGGTCCTGACTCTCTGTGGTCATTAAAAATCCCATAGCACTTCTCATATTGAGTAGGGGTTTAGCCTCAGTGCCCAGACCAAATTCCCTCCATCAACCCTTACTGATCATGGCCCCCCAAATCATCCCCATTCACGAAACTGTCTCTATCACTGTTTCTCCACTCCATCAATAGCTGGTGTGTGGTGAGCGCATCATCAGTGCCAGCCGTCGCATCATCCAAGTAGATGCTGCACACTGGTGGTGGTTTGGAGAGACCCCCCTCATGATAGTGAAGCAATTTGGATGTATGGTCATCCACAATAAATGCACTATATAAATACACTGAATTTAACCAAGAACAATAGGTAAGATGCATGATGTCAGGGTATAGCAAAAAAGCTAGCTTCCACAATATTTTGGACCATCAATGTAAAGTTTGGTTTGCCTTTGAATTCAAGACATCAACTGATATGTCTGTGAATGGTTTGTATGCTCATCACTACAAAAACACTTTGTAAACAAACTATTGATGCTCTCCAGAGTGCAAACACATATACACACTGGAGCGCTTGACATGTATGTTTCAACAATATTCTTTTTCACTGACCTTGTTGAAGAATTTTGCCAAAGTACTTGTTCTGGCTGGTACAGTTCCAGCGTCGAAAGCGAAACTGGTACTGACATTCCCGTACGCCCAGCTTGGCACCCTTGGCGACTTCGTTAACAATCTCCGGCTGGGTCTGGCAGAGTTCGGCCTGCTTGCCCGCCAGACGTTTGGTCTTCCTGCAAATGCTATTCGGGTCCATGACCAAGGGACTCCCCACTGCCCTGAAACGAACAAAGCTTCATCAAATGACTCATCTGAACTACACAAGCTTTCACAAGATAAAGTGTGGTTATCTTCTCAAACTGCACGGCACACAAACCACTTTAAATGATGTAAAGCATTATAAATTTAACATTCTCTTGCTTTACCGCAAGGTTCACCTCAAGGTCTGAGCGGATCCTCATTTATTTAGAGCTTTTCTTGGTTTTTAGGCATGCTCATTGTTCCTCGCGGATGACAAAGAAAATATACAGAAAAAAGACAACTACTAGAGTCAGACACACTATAATGTCAGCGGTAATGGTATTACCCCTTTGAACACAAACAGATAACACTGAAAGCAAAAAAGCCACATCTTAATTGCTGGGTTTTTATCAAAAGTGATGACAGACGTGTGTTTACACTGGAATCAATTGTTTATTTCAACTGCTAATGGGAGAAGAGGCCTCAGGTCCAAAGCGTGGAGCGCCTGCTAGAGCTTCCCGTGACCGCCGCTATGACGTAATGTGAGAACGACACAATCCTCCGGTTCTCTCTTTTTAATAACTCTCGCCGTATTGAGTGGAGTTCAGCGTCTGTGATCCGTGCAGCTGAAGTCAGTTTTTATCATTACGTTGCCGTCTGGGGGAGCAGAGCTCTGTGCGAATACCTCATTGCTTTTCATTCACCCCTGTCAGGGCTAATCTTTCAGACTAATAACATTCATCTGCCGTGCGAGTTTGTTTTAAAAAGTCAAACCAACGCTCTTGCCAGTCGCCTTCCATGGCGGTCTGATAAGAAATATGAGAGGGAAGATAACAGGCTTTACAAGTGATGCATCCCATCTTGATAGGCCTAATATTTCATTTACATATGACCACTCAACAGAAGTCTGAGCAATGGAGCAGCGCAAGCGTGTTTCGCTCATTTGCAAAAGGCCACAGAGGATTCATTTCATTGCACATTAGAAAATGATATATTATGCAGCCAAATTAAGTACATTTATTTGATTTGATTTGGATTCTTTTTGTAAAAAATAACCATATATAAAAGCTCATTTTTGTTTTGGTGGCAAGAAATGATGAGGAATATTTCACTCTGTGTGGCCACATAAAAAAACTTACAAACAATAAACATCTCATGGTCAGTTTTCCACAGTGGTAAATCTAGTAGACAGTTCTTTTGAATCGCTCATGTCTCTCACATCATTGAAGGTCAGACTATTGTTTTTACAGTTTGAGTTAAACCTTGTATTATGTTGCAGTTCCTAATAAAGTTGCAGGCCAACTGGCACCTACTCGCCAATGTCAATTTTTACTTGCGTTCGGCGCCTGGACAGTGTTCATTTTGGACCTTGCTTATAGCACAAATTAGCAGGAGATGATAGATTTTGATGGATGATGGGCATACACATGTATATATTGATTTTTACAATATTTTATATATTTCAAAAAGGCATTTTTACACTGCAAAAGAAGCACAAAAGAGACAGTAAACCATAAATCTCTAGTAATGCTGCTGAGAAGAAATATGTGATGTTTATGAACACAGCGAACCATGTTTAAACCCTATCAGCATTACATTTTTTAGTTTTTTTAAATAATTTTTAAATCAATGCTTAGCATATATGAGTACACCACATTTTGAAAATTAATATTTGGTCCCACTTTATATTAAGTGGTCTTAACTAATATGTACTTAAACAGGAATTAATAGTTTGTTACAATGTACTAATTGTGTAAATACATGTATTTACTGTGTACTTATGCTTGATTAAATACATGTATGTAATTACATCTGTAATTAACTTTTGTAGTTACATTTGTAAATACACTGTTGACCATCCCTTACACCTTAATCCACCCTTAAACCTACCCATGCCACCAAACCTGTTCATAACCCAACCTCTATCCCAACTCAAAAGCATTACAAGTGTTCTCAAATACATTTAACACAGTAAGTACATTGTATTTATTTTTTTATGTAAGTACATAGTAGTTAAGGACACTTCATATAAAGTGGGACCAAATATTCTGATACATTTCTCAGTGAATATGGGTAATATACAGTTGAAGCCAGAATTATTAGAATTTTTTCTCTTTTTTAAATATTTGCCAAATGATGTTTAACATAGCAAACAGTATGTCTGATAATTTTTCAACTTCTGGAAAAAAAATCTTTTTTTCTTTTGCCTAGAATAAAAGCAGTTAAAAAATTTTTAAACACCATTTTAAGGAAAAAATTATTAGCTCCTTTATACATTTTTTTTTCCGATAGTCTACAGAATAAACCATCGTTATACAATGACTTGCCTAATTACCTAATTATACATACATACATACATTGACATTAACTTTTTTGATCACCAGCCACTGTGGCTAGTAGTTTTCCAACATTACTAGCCACAATTTTATTGTTGGTAAAATATGTTTTATATACATATATATGACTATGACATGCTGAAATTACTTGATTTAGATCTTGTGTTATGTCCACATGATCATGGGCAAGTGGGTCATGGTTTCGTAGTATTACAATTAGTTTTTATTACACATAATTTTCAGAGCCCAAAATAAAGGATTTACCAATTTTTTGTATGACCACACCAAACATAAAATATTAATTATTTCTTAACCAAAAATTTTAAATGTGTCAAAACAAAGTAAAATATAGCTGCATACTACACTTTTTATTTAACAAAACCTATGTACATTAGGCTTTAATCTGTCCTGGCGTAAGGTCCCAGATCACCAGTTAACTACACATAAATGGGGAGTTAATCTCCCATGAAAGGATGATCACACACACTCGGTTAACAATAGACCCATGAATAATCTGTTCAACGAATGGTTAAAGCAAAAGCAACCGGTGGCGCTTACAAAAAGACAAATCTGGAACACTTGAAAGCAGTAAGACTGAGGGTGCATGTTTATCACTTTTTGTCTAGTCTATTTGAAAGAGAACCAATCACATCAGTTGTGTTTTTAAACAGTTGCTTCACGCAAGGAAATGAGAGCGCGTACACATTATAAACAGTCGCGCGCATCACCTCAGCTGTGCAGGTGAATATCCTCTCATTCGGTATTCACTGCTTTCTATTGCTCGCGGGAATGCAATTATTTTTGTCAGTCATGTTGCTGCTCAATTCTAAGATCATCTTTGCATGCATATTGGACCATCCTTATTGCCAAACCCTGCTTTTAAGAATTATTATCCAGGAAAATTATTTTCAACCAGGCAAAAACATAAATTGTTTACCTTGTTAAGATGAATACGTAATGTTTTGTTTGTTATTGTAACAACCAGCGATCGCTCCCCAGAGGATAGCTGGTTCTCACGCGATCTCAGGACTACATTTCCGCATTCCCCAGGACTACACATTCATACATGCACTGCTCCCAAACACGCACGCCTGCTCACTCATGTATCCTGATTGCAAGCACCAGCTGAGCCTTGTTCACAGACTGATTTCATTCATTCATAAGTCACTCTTTCACGCTACCAGTTGGCCGAGTCTTGTTTCCCTGTGTACATTACAACGCGTTTCCCTGTCCTGTTTTTCTGTGTTTAGACCCTAGCCTCGTATCCCAGTTATCCTGTTTAGCCGCCTGCCTTTTGACCATTTGCCTGTTTATACGTGTACGATTCAGGACTGCCTTTATATACCTGTTTGCACCTGATGACCATTGCTTGCCTGACTTTTGAATAAACTGCATAGTGGATCTTACCTCCTGTTGTCTCCTGTCACTCCACCCCAGTCATGGTAACAGTTATACAGATGCCATAATTTATGTATAACAATGTCATATTTATTTCTAAAATAATTTATTTATTATCTTTCATTAAATCTTTACGATCTATGAAAAGTGTTTATATGAAAAGTCTTAATGCAAACAATGGCTGAGTATAGGGTGGGGAATTTTGAAGAGGTTAGAAAGAGCAAGCTAGCTTTGAAAGCATAAAATCCCACATCCCCTTCAGAGCTCTCTCCAAAATCACGCCTCCTCAAAACACAAGATCATTCACAATCAGAGCACAGTCTGCAAAGCACCAAGATGAGGTGTCATTTTTGTAAGGTTGAACACATTGCTTTCAGATTTGTTTCTACCTCATTCACCGGTGAGCAATTTTACAGCTCTCTGAAATACTTGATTCTAACCCATCATTCATGACAGCTCAGAACAATGTTTTGTCTCTGATTGTTTATTGTTACTGTGATTGTGGCAAGTTGTCATATGATGAGTGGAATAATGTACATCTAGGCAGTTGTTTTGACAGAATGAAGCCCTTCAGTCCATCAGGTCATTCAGTTTATTCTGTGAGAATAACTGTCTATGTACATTTTCCTTACAAAACACAAGGCATTACAGTAACGAGTGTAAACAACTTATGATTGGTAAAAAAAAATGACCATTGATGGTAACAAAATAACCTAACATTCATAGATACAAAAGGTTCTTTATACTGGTTATTCACATTCTTCACAATAAGAAAATAAAGTAGATTTTTTGATTCTTTAGGGAATCTAAAATGGTACTTATTTGGCATCACTGCAAAAATGGTATTTTGGAACTAAAGCTAATTTTTGATCAATTGTTGTTATTATTATTATTATTATTATTATTATTATTATTATTATTATTATTATTATTATTAAGTAATATACAATTTGACATTCAAACCACTGCAGAAATGTTCTAACCAACAGGCCCATGTCATATACAGTACAGATACATTTCTTAATCAATAACCTACTACAAATTAAAAACATTAACATATGCTATTCATTTATATACATTTGTTTTCAAAAGCTTTTGAAGACGTTACATAGTGTAAATTTTTCATCTTTCATCATGAGCCACGGCTGTGTTCAAAATGGCATAAATGTTTTCAAAGTGCACTACGAAGGGAACGCAATTGTCAATATCAAGATGGCTAAAACTGAACTGTAAAAATACATTAAAAGCAAATACACCTAAGAGTAGGGTTGAGCGATGATGACCAATTTAGCATTGTACCATGT